GTTTTTCCTTTCCCCCTCTTCAAAACTGTGCATTGGAGCTAGAGATGGACTACATTTAACCTAAAAGTCATGAAAAACTGTTTAATACCAACAGTATAAAAAATTATCATTCATTGAAAAGCGAACTCATAAGACGAGGGAGCTCTCGATGAACGCCTTAAAAATATTTTAAAATCTGATATGAAACATTGAAAGAATAGGTAAAGAGGGAGAACACATTATTGATTGATAAATATGGAATATTTTTTATTTTACTGTTAAAGTGTTCTATTCAATTTGGCTTCAAATCGGACACGAACTTTAGCAATCACTCAACACAGATAACGAGTACTTCAGAAATAAAATTCGTAGACAGCCCCCATTCACGAATTGATGTTATAATAAAAGGCTCACGCAACAAAATTCCCATCTTAATGAATACAGATTTTCCCAAAAGATTCAACAATTCCTAACATTTTTCATTTTACCTGTTAATACTACACACTATATCTCATTCCTTTCCCTTATTAACCCCGGATATCACTTAAGAGCAAAGGTGAAAGAAAAAAAAAAAACATAACTTAAGTAATAAAAATGCTGGGTTAAGATTTAATATTTCTTTACCTAAATTCGAAAATACGTGTCTTTAATAAATCAGTCAAGGAAAAATGTGTTTGTTCAATCCAAATTTTTTTTTTTTGCGACCACAACATTTATCACACGGAATCTCGGAAAATTTTAAACATTTAAAACACGAAGGCCGTTCTCACGCCTTTAAATTTAAATAAGCATATGCAAGTAAGTAACCCAGAATCATAATTACATTGTTAACAACTTCATTTGCAAAAATTTTTTTTGCATACTTAATAATCGCATTTATCCTATTTGTTTCATTGTCTCAATCTTTTCTTTACATTGTTACTTTGAAATAACGTTGTAACTCATTTGTATCTAAGCAAATGAAATTAATCACGCCGAATTATGCAAAAGTGTGATATCTCTGCATGTCGCACGCCCACGCACGGGATGGGTTGTAATTAAGCCAAACCTACACTTGTATTCGTTCTTGGTCATTTTCATGGGTGATATTTCAGAGGGATTTTCATATGCAGATTATTTAGATTGTTTGCGAGGATGGTTCGTCAGGAATATTTTGTAATGTCTTAAAACTAATTAGAAAAAAAAGAATAATTATTTAATATTCAAATTATTTAGACCGTGAGAAAACAGATATACAAAAAGATTCGTTGTTAGGAGATTATAATTATTTTTTTGTAAGACTTCGGTCTTTCCATAGAAATATATCCGATATTTTTTTTTTTTTTTTTTTTGCAACAGTTTGTTTTAGTTCAAAGGGGGAGGTAATGGATTTAAACGCTGCACAATTCGTGACCAACGGCCTAATTGAGGAAATGTGGTCAGCATTCCTCCTAGACCTCTTATACTTCCCAAGCAAGTTAGTACCCATCTATTTAAAATTGGGTGAGCTTCAAGTTACCACTGGAGATCGAACCCCTGTTCCTTGCAATGACAGGAGAGGAAAAAAAGCAATGCGATATTTAAAAACATACTGTAATTTTTATCTTATAATTAAAAATGGAAATATTATAATATATTTTTATTATTGTTAATTGATATTAAAGTCTTCTGGTAAAATTCTATACTTTTAGAAATATCAGAGAGCGTTAATCCAGATAATTACCACAAATCAGTAGTGAAAAGTATTATCACTAGTAGTGTAGTATTATCATGCAAATTAATCCGGGGAGATCGAACCGCTGTTCCTGATGACAGGAGAGGAAGAAAAAAAAAGCAATGCGATATTTAAAAGCATACTGTAATTTTTATCTTATAAGTAAAAATGGAAGTATTATAATACATTTTTATTATTATTAATTTATCTTAAAGTCTTCTAGTAAAATTCTATGCTTTTAGAAATATCAGAGAGCGTTAATCCATATAATTACCACAAATCAGTAGTAAAAAGTATTATCACTAGTAGTGTAGTATTATCATGCAAATTAATCCTTTTTTGAATTTGATTATTCTATACAATGTTTCATCTTGAACTGAAACATGGTTTAATTTAACAATTTGTTTAAGAGTGCAGCGCGCTTTCACGACATATGGGTACAAGGTACCGATGATATACGGTAAAAATTTAAAACTTTTTATTCGAGATATTAGTTTTATCTATTTTTTTTCCTCCAAGGAATTCCAGCACAAAATTAATGAAGCTTTTCCACTCGGAGTTTTTGCTGGAATTTTCTTTACAGTATTTTAGTGTAAAAGCGGATGAAAAACAAACAAACCTATTTGAAGGAAAATTTAACTATTGCGTCTTTTTTTCAGCAGATGTCAAACGTCTTTAAGCGATAGTCAAAATAAACAAAAACATTTATATTATTCACGCAATTCTATCGTAACTCACGCACTTGGAGCTTGCAAACTAAATTATATTTCAGTTTTAAAAAAAATAATGCAAAAATGTTTTTACGCTTAAAATGTCTTTGCAACAAATGTGAATAAATAGTTTCAATCATATTTCTGTATAATTAAATCATTTAATTGGGTAATTGTACTTCAAGAAGATCACAATATTCACACACGTGACCGATGATGTCAGCTTCAGCTGATCGTTTATAAGCTAAATGGTGTGTTCAATTAAGATAAGTTTCTTCACATCAGTCAAAATGTTTATTGACGCAAAGTTGATTAAATACAGCACGGTATCGCACTTCAAATTTGTTGAAATATAATTCTTTCACGTCTACGTCTGTTACTTAACTTATATTTATTATTTGTTTATGTATTTTATTGTAAGCGTGATATATATTAGTCTTGTTTACCTGACAACTTCGATGCATAATTAGTTTGTTTATGTTCTACATGGCTTCATGCCTGTCTTTGTGCTAAGTAAGGAATATGTAATGAAAGAATCGAAATTCTTTAGAAAGAATCTTTGTGTAAGAATATAGAATGTGTCACTTAAGAGAATTGATGATCGGAAAGCTTGGCTAACTCGAAATAGTATGGAAAGAACAGTTGCAAGCGTAAACAAATGCCACGTTTCAACAACCAATCAGGATCGATATACCCACACTACGTCACTTGCAGGCATTCCATTATAATGTCATATTGTGACATTTGCTAATTTTAAAATAACATTTTATAAGTTAGCAAAGAAAAATAAAATAATTTGAAAGTAGTGTTTTAAGAAGCAGCATAACTCCACTAGTCTGTCAAATATACTGGCATCGACTGCAAATCTAGCAATCCAGACTATTTTTTATCATCTCTATGATCACACTCTCTGGTCACGTATTCGAAATGCTGCACGAATTCTGAAATACTTCTGCACAAATCTTGATAGTAAGTATTTCTTAGAGATATACTGATATGAGTTTACCCTCATAAAATTTAAAATCGTGCATTCTTTAGGGAATTCGTAATACTACTGTGAATTCCAAACTCTTTTACTAAGTTTTATAGGTTAAGTTTACTATTTATTCTTGATATGAAAATCACAGATCTGGTTAGTTTTTGAAATATCTTCTTTTAAATGTACAGAACGTGCTACTGTTTTTCCGTTTTGATTTGTTAAATAACTTTTTTAAAATTTAAGTTGAAGATAAGTTTTGTCTTGAAAATTACTTTGATGTTGTTATTTTAAGGAATGAAAATTTGGGAAAATAAAGTGGGAAAAAAATATATTAAATCTAGTTTTGTTAGCAAACAGAAATGTGTAAGTTTGTTCCAAAATCACCACTCTATATATGTAACCAATTATTTGACCGAAAAGAAGTTAAAAACCATAAAAACGCATGAATGGTTGGAAGTTAATATTAAAGGGGAAAAAAAAATGGTTCAAAATCTGGCGAATAATTTCCGTGGTTTATCACAGTATTATAACCAAGATAAAAACTGGTTCAATTGTAGGAGGTATCTGGTACTTTATCCGATAATAAAACTAATTTTACGTATTTCACTTTAAATATTTTATTTTATGTATTCTTTTCTAGGTCATTGCAAGTGAGGGGTCGCTTAAATATTATGTAAACATACTTTTGGTAAATTTGGAATCATCGTTGTCAGCAAAAATTAGCAAATCTCTACCTCCTTCTATGCTTGCAAAAGAAAGTCGTAATAACTCCCTTGTTTTTTGTTTTGATGTTGACCTTACTGATGTAATCAAATTTTTGGATCAAATTTAGATAAGAGTTGTTTATTTTATAAAATTTTGAGTATAATATTCTTTAGGAATCTTTTGTCTTTTCCTTCCGTGATCAAAACTTTTGAGCTCTCACTTTTCCCTTTCTTTCAATTTAACTTTAATTTCTAACTTAAAATTTCTCAAATTAGATCGCATTTTAAAAATATTTTGTCGATAATCGACAATCGATAATCATAAATCGATAATCATTCGTTGGTTTTAGCATTTTCTTTTTTCCTCCTCAAACGTTAATTTGAGATTCTTATTGTGATTTTTTTTTAAAATTCATACTCGTCAAATACTAGAAAAATATTTGTTAAAGACGGTAATTATGGAAGTCTTTTTGTAAGAAATAAAAAACATTGTAGGGTCGGGATAGTCTGGTCGGTAAGGCGCTGGGCCCATGTCCGAGAGTTCGGGGGCTCAAACCCAGCCGGCCGAAGACTCCCCGTGTAGTGAAGTGGCTGATGCACGTTAAATCTGTCGAGTCGCAAAAGTCCTCCATGTTCCCGTAACAAATCAATACCTCTAGGGGTACTGGATTGGAGATCGATCGTTCTCTGATTCCGGTCAGAATTACGATCTGTGGATGAATGGAATGGATGTATGAATGGGTCCGCCCTATAAACGAGTGTGACGTATGGGTGTGGCAGAATTCTTGGTCATCTGGTGCCATTGGAAAACAAGAACAATCGCACCTCCTTTGCCTAAACAGGTATACCTCAACAACAAAAAGCATTGTAAATGAAAAGAAAAAAAAAGAAAACAATTAATAACATGAATTTTAAAAACAAAATTTTTAACATACAGGGTGAATGAGAATTTTCTTTCCAACCTGGACGCGCAACAATAACACCTAGAATAAATGAAATAGTTATATTCTGTTGCTTGTCTTTGCTACACATGAAGTTTTCAACACAATAAATATAACAGCATACAAGTTTTTCGGATGATGCAGTTTTTTGTCGCTTCTTTTTTTACGTCATTACGCTTTAAAGAGAAAACATTCAGCAGAATAAAATGGCATGTTAAATAGAAATTAATCAGGCGCAATTATTCGAGAATAATGATCAATGATTTATTATACAATCTGTTAGCCGCGCGTGAAGTAAAAATTTTGAAAATATTCCCACAATTTTAAATTAGTGATTTTAATTTTCGATATGATTCTACGAGAGAAAAGACTTATTACAAAATAATTGAACATCAGAAAGCTCATTGAGTTTTAGGTGTTTAAGAAATAAGCATGAAATTGCTTTATTATAGACTTAAAACAAATTTGCCGTATGAAAAAAACAACGTTGCCGATGTATGTGACTATAGTTAGCCATCTTATTAATATTAGATGTTCCAGTCCCTCAAAATCGCGATTTTGTTCTCTTTTTTAATTTATTCTGAACTTTGGCCAGAAAGTGCAAAAAAATTAGTTTTTCTAAATAAATTGAATAATTACTTAGTGGATAGCGTAATATCACAAGTTTATGGTATTTCTGAATAAAAATATGCAGTATCGCGCATTAATGTGATTTAACATGTTATGTTATGCTTTAAATAAAACAACAAGCTTCCCCCCCCCCCTTTTACAAAACAGTATTGTTAGACTACAAGATAATTATCCCCAATGCTAGATGCACAGAACAAAAAAATTTTCTGAATGTATTTATTGATGTACTATACATACTTGTAGAAGTGAATAAATATGTTAAGTACTGGTTCTCCGTTTTTAAAACTTAAAACAATGATTGTAATTAATCTTTTTAAACTAAAATCAAAATCAAAAAAAAAAAAAAAAAAAAAAAAAAAANAAAAAAAAAAAAAAAAAAAAAAAAAAAAAAAAAAAAAAAAAAAAAAAAAAAAAACAGTCTACATAGGTAATTGAATTTTATAAGAGCATGACTATTCTAATGTGATAAATCTCTATCATATTGCATTTCACTTTTAACAAAGTGATGATAAGTAGTTAAAAATATTTGCATATGTTAAAATAGAAAATGTGAACGAATCAGAGCTCTGTTCATTTGTTATCCCACAGAATTTATGCTTACCGTTATTCCATTGATTCTACACGAGCATTTCAAACATTACAGCTAGATTAAAGCAACATATTTCCGAAAATTATTAAAAACGATACAAAAAAAATAATAATATTCTCTAAAAAAAAACAAAAGGGGGTTATATTTACAGCCTCGTAAGCTTTTTGCTTCAGACCCGAAAAAGTTATAAAAATTGCGTCTAGAACCTCAGCATCAAATATAATCCCCAAAACCCGTGGGAAAATATTTATACCATAGAGTTAGTAGTAGAGAAAACTCCAGCATGAGGAAAAGATCTGAGGTGGAGAGAAACAAAATAATCCACTGCCTTCCCCACCCTTTTCCTTCTTACCCGAGCCCACCAATCGGAAATCGATGTTTCTGGTTGGGAAAGGGGGGGATTGCAGAGCGGAGACAAGGATTGGAGAATACTCAGAATGGTAAGAAGAATGAAGAAACCTGAAGAGATGTAGGGTGGTCGACGTTTGGCGACTTATCGACTTTTGCATTTTTTTTTTCTTCATCGTCTTTTTTTTCTTTCTTCTTCTCCCCTTCTCCTTTTCTGATACGAGGTATTGAAGATTGGAGGAGAAAATGCTTGATGCCTATTTTCTTACTTACTTTTCGGGTAAAAATTTGTTGGAATAGAATAGATGAATGGGATAGGGTGTGTTAGAGGGCACTACTAAGCAGCCATTATTGAAAATAATAAAGAAAAAAAGAAAAGAAAAGTTTGTAAAATGTCTTCCTTTAACTCTTTTTCTACCTGGTTCAATACTTTTTTGAAGAGTTTTAAGTCACTTCAAATGGCAATAAATCATATTCTTTTTTTTTTTATTATGGGTTCATTCGAAGTTGCGTTGGAAGATGCGAGCCGTATTGATGGATTTAGTTTAGTTGTAAGTTTTGCAAATATGATTAGCAAAGGTGCTAAGAAAAACTGTTATTTTATGTAAGTTTTTGGTAATTTGATTCAAATTAATTAGAGGAGGAAGTAACTAGCACACGTAAGAGTGTTTTAAAACAACTATCGAATATTTCCTGTTATTTTAAAGATATATAACAATGTCTTTTTTTGATTATATAGCATAAGAGGAACGAAAAGTTTCTCTTTTATTTGCAATCTAAACAACCAACCACATCAATCATTTTTTTACGATTTTATCTTTAAATTACGAAGCATGTATATGTTGCTAAAACATCATATAATTAATTTTTTTTGCTTTTAATTTTTTCATCTTTATATTCATCACTTAATCGTTTTCAGAGCTCTAAAGTGGATTAAAAATCCTACACTATAGAACAGAGTTTATAGGTCAAAGTACACCAGATGAAAACCATAATGATTTAAGTCAACTTGGTATACTTAGTTTTAGGGACTTAAATAGTTCACTACGTCTCTAAAAATCTATGTTATTACTAAGGTATTAATTCGTTAAAAACTATTACTTATTTTTAATATTTTTGAACTACCACTTCAGCTCTTAATGCTTTATAGGATTATTTTTGGTTCCGTAAATAATTTTTTCATGATAACATTCATTGTGTATCATTTGACCTTTTGCCACAGAATCTTTTTTTATAGGGCTTAAATTTTATTAAATTATGAATGCTAATTGTAATTCCATCATATACTAATTAGAATTCACAAAAGAATTTGAAAGTAATAAAATTTTGATATTTAAAGCATTTAATGTAAATACACATAAATACTTTATTAATTCTGACTTTTTAAACGCCATATCATTTCAAATGTTGCAACTAGTATTGATTTTTTTTTGTTAAGTGTGAATATATGAATTTCTAATTGATATATTGATGATAACTTTTAAATATTTTATACAAATTTGTCGTAAGAACTCAAAATTCTTCAAAAAAGGCCGCTTTAGATAATAAAATATTGGGAAATGTCTTTCAGAGACAATTAAACTAATTTCTCAATATTTTGAAGGTAATTTTTAATGATTTATATTTTTGAAAGATTGTCTTGGATTATTTTCCATGAACTATTGATTTCAATGAATATTATTTTAATTTTTAATGAAAATTGATTCAAGAACGTTTTACTAATTAATATTATTACTTTGTATCGTATTAATAAATGTCATTTTTAATCTAAAAACTGATATTTTCTAATCAAATACTTGATAATAATTCAAACTACAACAAAAAGACAATATAAATGACGAAATGTTAAATAAATATTGATAGGACTATTAGCTTGCGTATTATTTAACAATGGTCCTTCCACACGAAGCTTATATGTATATATATAATTAGGAATGAAAAGAAATTCTACAATTTATATAATATTATAATAAGCAGCCGTGATGGCTCAGGAGATAGAGCCTTCCAATGAGGTCAATCGGGTTCGAATCCCAGCGATGGCGAAACGAATTCCTCATCCCGTTTGCTCCGACTGCAGTGCTGACGTAAAATATCTTCAGTAGCAGACGGATCATGGGTTAGAATCTCCATGCTACCAGGCTAACTACAGGAGGTTTTCATGATTTTTCACTCCATATAACACAAATGCGTGTTAGTTCCACTAAGAAATCTTCCACTATGGCTTGTTTGTCTCAATGCTTGATCCGGGTGTTTTTAGTTTATTTTAGGATCCTTTTATCCAGGATCCTTTTTTAAGTTTATTTTAGAAACAACGTTGAATGGCTGAACCAATTCTGGGGAGAAATTTGCCTTCGTGAAGGACTTTTTGAAGGAACTAACCCGCATTTGTTACATGGAGATGAAAAACAAGAAAATCTCCCACGGTTAGCCTGACGGCAAGGAGACTCTAACCCATGATTCTTCAACCACTGAGGATATTTTACTTCAGCACTATATGTGGTTGGTGTTAGCTGGGATCGGAATTCTTATCGACCTACCATCGCTGGCATCGAACCCGTGTCCCCTCATTGGAAGGAAAGCGCTCTATCCCCTGAGTCACCACGGCTCCCAGGAGTTCCATTGTTTTCTAGGTTGTGTTCAAAATTACAAGACTACGGAGGTGAACGTTGATAGTCGCAAACTTAGAATTAGGTTGGCTGTATAAAATATTGCAATAATCTGAATTATAAAAATAAGCAGGTTCCTTATATCCTTTTACAACAGTTTAAGTAAGAAAATACACATTGAATTTAAAAATAATATAAAAGATTCAACAATGAACTCTTCGAAGATTTATGTTTAATAAAAACGTAGTTTTATTTCATTTATTTGGATTTTTGTATAACCCCTTCTCTTCTAAGAATTTAAAACTTCGATGATAGTTCGAAATTTCGTCCAAACCAATACTCAGTATGACTGATATGTCGTGATTACCACTTACAATAATTACCCCTCTTCAGAGCGAGGACAAGACAGATATTAGGAACTAATTAAATTACCAATATGCGGCATCGTTACTCGCAACCGTAACTTGTCATTGAATGTGTGTACATCTTTTAACGGCTCCCGAAATCGCTCTCAGAATGAAATGAAGATGGTAAGGAAATCCGGAAAGGAAAGAAAATATGTCTTAATAGAGCTTAAAGAAGCCGTCATTAGATGAGTTCGGTCATCATCTTTAAAAGATGGATGGTATTTTAATACCTGGTGTATATCCGCCCTACGAGAATCTCAACATTATCCTTACTTTCAAAATTATTATAATCACCTGAACTTCTAAGATTTCTCGCACAGGTATTGACTGATATTTAACTCGGAAATGGGTGATTATAATCGCGTGTGTTAATTTTCTGGATGTAGCGAAATGTTTGTGATGATGTGTAAATATTTTCATCCTATATGACGATATTCATTAAAGGAAAGAAAAAGCGATAAT